GTCAGAGGGAGAAGCAGACTCCCTGCCAAACAGGGAGCCCGATGCGGGACTCGATCCCGGGACTCCAGGATCATGACCTGAGCTGAAGGCAGTCGCCTAACCAACTGAGCCACCCAGGCGCCCCAAAACCCCTTATTCTTAACCACTATATTACACATGCTATGAGCAAGAAAGAGAAGTAGGTAAGCAAGTATGAACAGCTGATTCTAATCTCTTTGGCAGGAACAGCCCCACTGTGGAGTTGGTAGCATAGGGGTATCAGGGTTTAACGAGCTAATCATTAAATTTAACTAATCCCCTTGTTCTGACTCCATATTAACCAAATAACCTTCTAATTATATTCTGGCTCTCCATATAGATTTTTCTGCTGGGAGATAATGCACTGACCAGCCTACACATGCAATTTGTTCCAGCTGGCAATTTTATTACTCATTGTGAGTTAATAAATTGGCATTGCGCTTTAAAAAAAAAAAAGATGAAATACACTAAAGAAAAATAATGAAATAGTCTTATACAGTTGTTTTTCTGTGGTTAGTTTTAAAAATAAAAACATACATGTTGTCTCTTCTGTGATTTAACCTCGCTGCCTGCTTTGAGCCACCATGGATGTGGTCAGAAAGTCAAAGCCCCTAGCACAGCCCAAGGGCTTCCATTGTTTCCCAGTGGCAAACTCCCACCTTTCCTCCAGCAGCTGACAGGTTTGTTCTTCAGAATTTAGCTAATTCTCTGAGCGTTAAAGCAGCTGGAGGCTGCTCCAAGGGGTCTCATTCATCTCCCCAGGGTAACATGCATCCTATCCTAGGAGCAGGCCATTCTCTAATAACATCATTAAACCCGATGTTAATGCACTCGGGACCACCAGGACCCCAGCCCCTGTCGGACTTGCACAGTCTCAGCCCTCTCAGGCCCTGGAGAAGAGGAAGGGACACCTGCCCTCCTTCCCACTTGTGGGCTCCTTCCAAACGCGGACTCCATGAAATCGTTCCCGTCTCCCTACTCCTTGTTGGCTCATTTTGTTTTGTTCTTTTTTCTTCTCTCCCTTCATGGGCAAAACTGGGACAAACGCAGGTGGATCTTTAAAAGTGAACGCTTCATGAAATGGACCATTTCATCTTACCAAGAGATCTGCTTAATCACATACAAAGGCTAAAATAGGGCTTTTCCCCCAAGAAAAAAATTCAACAGTCTCCTGAACAGAGGATTGAAAGGACACTCTACACAGTGATTATTTTCCCCTCCAAGACATTGGAAAGTCAGCAAGTGCCAGGTCAGCCTTGTGAGGGGCCTCCTTTCTTGGACGGAGAAAAGGCCGAAGCCGAAGGGGCTGGAGTGCGGCCCTCACTGCAGGAGCAACAAAGGGAAAGGGCCTCTCTCAGAAACTTTAGCGCTGGGGTGGAAGACAGCAGTTGACGACAGAACTCTCGTTATTCTGCTTTTCGGCCATTTTCACCACCGAGGCATCAACCAAGAAATTACTAGCAACCCTCAGGATTTCCAGCCGCCAGCCCCGCGCGGGGTGGGGATGAATAAGGCAGTGCAAAGAATCGTGCGCTGACCAGCCAAGATGGCCACTTTCACATGGCTGAGGGCCACTGGCTCCCTGTCCCCAGGGCATCTAAAGGCGGGGCCGGTCGGAAAGACCCTCGGGCAGAGCCTGAGGACAAAACCTCTGCCGATTCTCGCCGTCGCCGCTGGGGGACGCGACCTCGCGGACAGACAGCTCGGTCAACGGTCGAGAGGGAAGTGCCATGTCACAGCAAGGGGAACAGGCCCACAAAGTCCTCGTCGCTTTTCCACCCACTTCGAATACGGAAGGGTACAAGGGCCCCAAGCACTCGCATCTCCACTTGGCCCTGTTAGAAGTGCTTGAGATAACTAAATATTCGCAGGAGGCGCGCATTACCTCCGCTCGCTCCCCCTGCCACGCGAAATGGTTCAGCCCAGCCTCCCCTTCGGCGCACCGCCCCTTCGGCCTACCCCCGCGCTAGTGGCGCATTGGCGCGTGGCGCTGAGGGGCGGGGCCCGGGCCGGGCGCGCGCTGGCGCTGTGTATAAATACTGGGCCGCATCGCCCGCCGCCTCGTTCGCTGTGCGCCGCCCGCCCGAGCTGAGTAGGACGCAGTCTTCTGCTTGTGCATTTCGCAGTCGTCGCCTCGCCGCTCCCTTTTTCCTCAACGCCACTTACACTCACCGCTACGAACACCAACATGAACGGGCAGCTCAACGGCTTTCACGAGGCGTTCATCGAGGAGGGCACGTTCCTCTTCACCTCAGAGTCTGTGGGGGAAGGCCACCCAGGTGAGGTGACGGGCCCTGGAGCGAAGTGAGGGGCGGGGCATGGGCAGGGCCGGCCGGGAGTCGCCGGCCGCGGTGCCCGCGCTGGGTGCCCTCGCCCGGCGGGCGGTGGGAAGAGCGGCGGCCGCGCGCTTTCCTCGTGGCGCCGCCGGTGCCGAGCGCGTGGCCGCCGTTCCCCTCCCCCTTCCTCTCCTCTCCTCTCCTCCCATCCGGCCGCGCGCCTCGGCATGCGGAAGATTCCAGAAAACGAGAAGGGCGGGGGCCGGGGCAGCTGTGCTCCACTCGGGGAGGGCACTATTTCCTCATCTCCGCCCCGCCGTCTGAAAGCCCTCGAGTGGGCGACCGGCCCTGAGTGCTCGCGGCCGGTCCTCGGGAGCGCGCGCCCCGCATTGCAGCCGCAACCACGTGTTTGCCGCATGTGGCATCTGGGCGAGGGGGAGCCGTCGGGCTCCCGGCGCGCCCGGGTGTGCGGAGTGGGGGGCCCGGGCCTCGGGACGTCTGCCGTTGGCGTTAATTCCTTGCCTTGGGCCATTACGGCCCCCAGAAGAAGACGGACGTGCCTTTCGGCAATATATGGCCTTGCCGTCAAGGTGACAGCCTCCAACTAAATATAGCGCAGGTTGGGGGAGGCCTTCCTTATTTGGACCACGTTTGAAAAGGAAACATGAATTAAGTGTAAGCTGCCATTGCGTTGGATTTCCCTTTAAAGTCTTTGGTGCTTTGCCGTTAGGAAAGGTTTTACCGAACATTTCCTTCTCTGGGCTTTGTCCACTAGTCCGCCATTATGGAGATCAATTTACACGTGAACGAGTGAAGCTGTTTCAAGGAACTTTCAATCTCAGCCTGAAAACCTCACTTAGTGGAGATCACTATTTTGCTGTACTGGTTCTGCCTTTTCTTGGGATGACCACGGTGACATAGTTGTCTAGTCTAATGGTTTTAAGGATCCGTTTCTCTCTAGTCTCCTGTGCCTCTGATGAAATCCCACAAGCAACCTAGTGGAGTGGGAGAGGACAGACGTCAAGATCCTGATTGAGGGAAGGTCATGTGTTGTGGTGGGGGTTACCCACCTTCCCTCAAGTGTTGAGAACTTCACATGTATTTGATCCACGTTTTATTAATTTAATCATGTAAGTCACAGGCGCTTATAGCAGTTTGTAAATTAAATCTTGAGCCTCTGACTTGATTGCAGTACACATCTTGCTTTAATTGTTCCGGATGATTGTAGAAAATTCAGGAAAGTGGTATTTCTGTTCTCCCACTTTTTAATAGATCGCAATACAGTGGGGAAGTAACAAGGATTCAGAATACATTTGGACATTTTCCAGTCTGTTCAGGTCATGTTCCTGGACTACACCTGACAAAATTTTTTATTCCTTCTGTTCGTAAAGTGTCCTTTTATTGTTTAACTCTGACATTTTTTGTTGCTCTGATTAGTGTTCCTTAGGATCAGGGAGAAATTGATAAGGGGGGGACGGTTCACCTTTCTGGTTGGTTAGATTTATAATGAAGACTTTAAATTTGGGGGATAAAATGTAAGTATAATTGCCCTTGAAAAATAATACTGTATAGCGAAATGCTTCCCAGCTTTCCTTTTGGGTTTGAAGATAAACTTTCTGCTTTAACTTAATTCCAATTATGTGGCTGTTCTGTTTAACAGTGGAAATTGTTTTGCCTGGGAACTTAATTTTTCAAAATGTCTGAAATACTTTAGAGATGGGATGAAATCCTTCCAAGGTGTAAATTGCATGAATCACAATGAATTTAAATGTATTAAAAGTGCTGGGCGTTCTGCTGGCTAATCTGAATTGGTGAGCTTGTGGTGCAGCTATATTAAGACTGGTGTCAAGTTTTCAAGTAATATGTGACATTATATCCAGCATTTATTCTTCAGGCACATGGTTTCTGGTAAAGCAGTACTTTAATTAACAGCAGTTAAGATCTCCATAGTTGAAATGCCACTGAATTCTATGCTTGAAAATGGTTAAATTGGTAAATTTTATATTCTGTAGGTTTTACCACAGTTTTTAAAAGAAAGCTCTCCCAAAGATCTGTGCAGCAGTACTTACAAGGAGGAATGACATACATTCACTGACAGTAAGATAAAGAGATTGAGCCAGGAATCTTTTTTTCTACAGATAAGATTTGTGACCAGATCAGCGATGCTGTGCTTGATGCCCACCTTCAGCAGGACCCTGATGCCAAAGTGGCTTGTGGTAGGTTCTAAACACTGCTTGCTTATCAACTGAAGAAAAGGTAACATCGTGAAAATTACTTTGTAAGAGTGACAGTTGAGTGTGAATTTATCTTTTATTAGAAACTGTTGCTAAAACTGGAATGATCCTTCTTGCTGGGGAAATTACGTCCAGAGCTGCTGTTGACTACCAGAAAGTGGTTCGTGAAACCATTAAACACATTGGATATGATGATTCTTCCAAAGGTGTGTTTTAATGAGTTGGCTTTTCTAAGCTCATTTTTCCATGTTTTCAACTCTCTCTAGCTCTGTCCTCAGAGTGTTCCTGCTAAACCATTAACTCCAGTTGTACATTTACTATCTGTTTTGTTCTAGCCCTGTTTAATTCTCTAAAAGTTCTAAGTTTTAGGTGTACAAGTTTCCCCCGCTATCCAAAAATGGGACGTTCCCATGAAACTTATAAGCCAAGATGACGCAAAGCATGGCTTCATTTTTACAGTAGACCTACATTAGTACATAGTTTTTTTTGTAAAAGCGTAAATCCTCTGCAGGTTTTTTTCAGTTAATGAAAAGTACTGGTGTAGGTCTTTCCTAAAAGTGAAGTGGTGAAACACTAACTTTTGAAAGGTGGGAGGGGACAGGGATACCTGTATTTGGTTTCTTTAGCTGTATTTAAAATCCCAGATACTTACTGTAAATAGAAGGCACTGGTATTGCTTTGGCCCTTTTTTTTCTTAAGGCATTGTTTTGTTTGTAGGGTTTGACTACAAGACTTGTAATGTGCTGGTAGCCTTGGAGCAACAGTCACCAGATATTGCTCAAGGTGTTCATCTTGACCGGAACGAGGAAGACATTGGTGCAGGGGACCAGGTACCTTGGTGTAGACTCTATCTGCATCTCTTCTAACATTTAAATTCCGAAGCTTAGATTGATCGCATTGACTTTTTCCTTTCTTAGGGTTTGATGTTTGGTTATGCCACTGATGAAACTGAGGAATGTATGCCTTTAACTATTGTCTTAGCGCACAAGCTCAATGCAAAACTGGCTGAATTACGCCGCAATGGCACTTTGCCTTGGTTACGCCCAGATTCTAAAACTCAAGTAAGTGATTATAAAGCTAGATTACACATACTGCACAGAACATCAGTAAAGTTGTTTAAAGCTAACTGAAAAAAGACTATCCTTCCGTATTGTAATTTAGCTTTGTCTTGGCTCTATTCTGTCTAGTAAACTGATGTTCTGATCATCTGCTTTGCCTTCAAGGTGACTGTGCAGTACATGCAGGATCGAGGTGCTGTGCTTCCCATCAGAGTCCACACAATTGTTATATCTGTTCAGCATGATGAAGAGGTTTGTCTTGATGAGATGAGGGATGCTCTAAAGGAGAAAGTCATCAAAGCAGTTGTACCTGCAAAATACCTTGATGAGGATACAATCTATCATCTACAGCCAAGTGGCAGATTTGTTATTGGTGGGCCTCAGGTAAGGCCTTATGATACAATTTGACTTTTTTGAATTTTCTGTAGTGGTTACTTGCAAATTTGGCTACTATAACTCCCCCCCCCCATTTTTATAAGTCTGCATATGAATCTTCTGAGGATATCTGCTGAGTGGTACAGAATAGGCGTTTAACAAACCTGACCTAGAACCATTTATTGGAAAGCACTAGGCATAAAGTGACTAAAATCCTGTAATTTCAGGGTGATGCTGGTTTGACTGGCCGGAAAATCATTGTGGACACTTACGGCGGTTGGGGAGCTCATGGAGGAGGTGCCTTTTCAGGAAAAGATTATACCAAGGTGGACCGTTCAGCTGCTTATGCTGCTCGTTGGGTGGCAAAATCCCTTGTTAAAGGAGGTCTGTGCAGAAGGGTTCTTGTTCAGGTATATACTCTTTTGTGTAACTGGAGTGATTAGAAGGCATGCAAGTGGGAGGGCATTTAGCGTAGTATTTGTCTTTTTTAAATACCAGTGTGTTACATAAGCGTGTGGGTCTTTTAATCACTGACTCTTATGACATTTGAATCCTTTTAGGTCTCTTATGCTATTGGAGTTTCTCATCCATTGTCTATCTCCATTTTCCATTATGGCACCTCTCAGAAGAGTGAGAGAGAGCTATTAGAGATTGTGAAGAAGAATTTTGACCTCCGCCCTGGGGTCATTGTCAGGTAAAGATGGTAAAGCCTATTGCTAGTCAAAAATGGTGTGGGTGTATGTATATACATATATTTGAGATACATTCAAATCAGAGAAGGTGAAGGTCTTGAAGACTCTTTAAGTGGGGAAATGTTTTAATTCCTAGAACTGTTGATGTTATCTTTAAATTGCCTTTAGTAAAGGCTTATGTTAAGAACAGTCTAAAATTACAGTGCTCCATGGCTTAGACTAACCACCCTAGAAAGTCTTCCACATTTGATACGGGGATTTGTGCTCGTTATCTAAGGATGTTTATTTTACTTAAAAGAAATTAGTACAGATAAGTGGGATATTCAAGGCTGCTATAAAGAAAATAAACAGGGTGTGGGCATGGGACCTTGGTAAGTATGCCATGATCTCAGATGAGCTTTTGACACTTGGAATTTCTCAGAATAATGACAGGTTTTCATATTTGTTGAGCCAAGGATGGAAAAACAAGAACTGTAGTTACTAATAAGGACTGTGCGAGGAGTTTGGACACCAGGGAAGTAACAAACACTTCTGCCACAAACTTTTTTCCTAGCAAACCCCAGAGAACTGAACTCATTTGCCAGAACTCTTGAAAATGAGTCTTGCTGATTGTTTTGCTTTATTTTAATTGAATGCTACATATTAAGTTACGGACTTGTATATTCCAGGGATCTGGATCTGAAGAAGCCAATTTATCAGAGGACTGCAGCCTATGGCCACTTTGGTAGGGACAGCTTCCCATGGGAAGTGCCCAAAAAGCTTAAATATTGAAAGTGTTAGCCTTTTTTCCCCAGACTTGTTGGCGTAGGCTACAGAGAAGCCTTCAAGCTCTGAGGGAAAGGGCCCTTCTTCCTAAATTTTCCTGTCCTCTTTCAGCTCCTGATCAGTTGCAGTCACTCCTAGTTCAATGACATGAATTTTAGCTTGTGTGGGGGACTGTAAGTTGGGCTTGCTATTCTGTCCCTAGGTGTTTTGTTCACCATTATAATGAATTTAGTGAGCATAGGTGATCCATGTAACTGCCTAGAAACAAACCAACAACACTGTAGTAAATAATGCTTTTTGAAATTGAACCTTTGTGCCCTATCACCCAACCTTCTAAAATCCTAATTGCATTGACTTTCCCACCAAATGCTGAAAATGTCCTGTAATGTGCACGTAAAGTACTTGTAGTTCCATTATAGCCTCTGTCTGGCAATGCCATAGCCCTGTCAGCATGAATTTGTAATGTCTTGAGCTCTATTATGAATGTGAAGCCTTCCCTTATCTTCCCTATAACTTAATCCATTTCTAATTATGTAGCTCTTTGTCAGGGAGTGTTCCCTATCCAATCATTCTTGCATGTAACGCAAGTTCCAGTTGGAGCTCTAGCCTGACAAAAAAAAAAAAAAAAGGCAGTTACCATTAAACCATCTCCCTGGTGCTTATGCTCTTAATTGCCATCTCTTAAATAGCACCAAATCAAAATCTCTCCACTTTTCAGCTGTCTTTTGGAGGACGTACGTAATAAGGTTTTTATTTAGTAAACCAATCCTATGCATGGTTTCAGCACTAGCCAAACCACCAACTCCTAGCTCTAGAAAAACAGGCACTTGGCACCCTTGTGATGTCATACAGAGAAGTCACAGGGCAGTACCTGAGGGTCTGTAGGTTGCACACTTTGGTACCAGATAACTTTTTTTTTTTCTTTATAAGAAAGACTGAGTACTCCACACTGCACAATAATTCCTCCCAGGGTTTTAACTTTGTTTTATTTTCAAAACCAGGTCCAATGAGCTTTCTGAACAGCTGGTGTAGCTACAGAGAAACCAGCTTCCTTCAGAGAGCAGTGCTTTTGGCGGGGAGGAGGAAATCCCTTCATACTTGAACATTTTCTAATTGCTTATTTATTGTATTCTGCAGTATGGCGTAAGTACAGAGAAGCCATCACCTCAGATGGCAGCTTTTAAAAGATTTTTTTTTTTTTTTTTTTAGCCATCACCTCAGATGGCAGCTTTTAAAAGATTTTTTTTTTTTTTTTTTTCCTCAACACCATGATTCCTTTAACAACATGTTTCCAGCATTCCCAGGTAGGCCAAGGTGTCCTACAGAAAAACCTTGGGTTAGACCTACAGGGGGTCTGGCTGGTGTTAACAGAAGGGAGGGCAGAGCTGGTGCGGCTGGCCATGGAGAAAGCTGACTTGGCTGGTGTGGTACAGAGAAGCCAGCTTGTTTACATGCTTATTCCATGACTGCTTGCCCTAAGCAGAAAGTGCCTTTCAGGATCTATTTTTGGAGGTTTATTACGTATGTCTGGTTCTCAATTCCAACAGTTTAATGAAGATCTAAATAAAATGCTAGGTTCTACCTTAAGTGTCTCCATTATTCTTTAAAAGTGTTTTGGTATGAATATGATCTGAGAACATATTCTTCATCCCTTAATAATTTGAGGTAATCCTTCCCCATGGTTCAGGGAAATCACCTCAAACCCCTTCAAACCATGACTTGCAAGCATTTTAATAGGTTTGTACATCCTATCCCTAGTACTAAGAAGAACATCCCAAGATTTGATCTGTTTGTCCAGCACTGCCTGTTTGGCTGATGCAATGGCCAAGATCCATGTGTCCTTACTGCAGCAGCCACTCAACTGCCAGTTAATGTTTTAAAATTGTCCAAAATTAAGAACAAAACATGGAATGGTAATGTTCTGTCTTGAAACGTAAACCCATTATCTAGCTTTCCAGTGAAAAAGTTTTTACGTAGATATGCCTTAAGTATTAATACCTTTATTATAAACAGGCGTTAAGGCTGCAAGTTACATACATGTTCAGTACATGATACAATTTGGCAAAATTTTTGAACAGTGGTGAGGGGGCCAGGTTCTAATCTATAAGATAGGTCACGAAATTACAGTGAAGATGCTGTAAGTTTTTAAAACCTTTATTCTGAGTTTGTAGAGGTCTACTCAAGAACCATCCCTTTTTAAGCCTAGGAGCTAAAGTACAGATAGCCATTTGGCACATGTTTACACGAGCATGTATGAAAATCAAGTAGTGGTGTGAGGCCCAAGGAATGCTTGATTATACCTATTTGGAGGCTTAAAAATGTGTAACTGTTGGGAGGGAAGGCAAAGTTAGATCTGAAGGTCTTTAAAAGTTTCAAAAAAGCCTTATCTAGAGAATAGTGCATTGCTGTAAAAACAACCATGCTGGTCAAATAAGGGGAATGGGGAAGAGCTGGGTGCCTGTAGGCTGGTGGGACAGCACCAGAGAAATTGTTAGGTTCGGTATTTACTAGGAAGATACTGGACCTCAAGGAGCTTGGAGAAGAATCTTTTGTAAAAAGGCCCTGTCTTCTGCCTAACATGGGGGGAAAAGATTCTAAAAATAAGGTGAAGAAATAGTAACCAGCCCAGGGAGGAGAAAAGCAAAGGTGTCAAGTGGGGTGATGGTGACTACAAATGGTTGAATATCAAAGCATGCCATGTTATGGAAAAGTTTTGAAGGGATAACCTGGCCAGCGACAAAAGATCCAAATGCTGGGAGTAGAATGAAATGGAATACTAAAGCCCGGCTAAAAGGATGTTGATAGCCCATTCCTATAACAGCTACACGGGGCCCGATTTTTCCTGAATCTGAACTCATTTATTCCACTGAACAGCTTTTCTCGTAAACAGTATTAAGACGACCACCTTTCCACTCCATCCCACCCCAACATTTTCACTGGGAGAAAGAGGTGGTATGCTCACAGTTTTGGGATAGCATCCTTGCCTATATTAAAACTACTGTAAGAGTCCCTTCCCCAAATGAAGAACTACTTTTCTTACCAGTCAAGTAATGAGCTGGGGTGGGGGGGTAGCGCAGGGGAACAGAAGATAGCTGAACTTACTAGCAAAGGACATTATGCCAAGGTATATTGCGTCACTGAGATCTGCAAAACTATTGAGAACCAGTGTTCCCCCCACACTATTCTTGACAAGTGATCAAGATACCCGGTGGCTCAGCTACAGCTAGCTAACCCACACAATGCCTCGTAGGAATCAGGCTTCAGTGGGATGCCCTGATTCACGCCCAACTGCACCTGCTCCGGTCTATCTCTACCTAGATTCCAATATAAAGGGTGAAAGAACACAGAGGTAGTAGAGATGAATAGACTGAAGAAGAGGTAGAATTGATACAACTTGGAATTTGAGAAATGTGAGGAAAAAAAAGGAAGACTCAAGACAAGATATTCTGATGGCTTGGCCAGAAAAAATGCAGTTGCCACTCACTAATAGAGAAGCAGGTCTGAGTTGGGGATGAATTAAGTTCTGCTTAGGACAGAGTTTGAAAGCTTTGTGGGATATCCAGGTGGAGCTAGTTAGATCTATAGGTCCAGGGCCCAAGAAAGAAAGCTAAGCAGCAGCAGCAGCACTAGAAACCATGAGGGGGACATAATCATCGCAAGTGTGTACAGTGAAAAGGCAGCTGCCTAGGAAAGAACCACTGACGGGGGATGGGGGGGTTGGGAAGCGAAGCCTGAAAATAGAGATGCCATCCTTCATCAAAGTTACTGGGGCTGCCAATTTACTGCTAGTCTTTGCTGTGAGACCATGAACAAGCACCCAGAGCAGGAGCCTTTTTTTTTTTTTCTTGTTTCTCTATACACTCTTACTTCCTAGCCCAATGCTAGGCTTTTGAGTTTTCAAGGAATTGAGGTGCTTCCTCAATCACCCTGTATATCCAAACCTACAAAATAACTGCAAACATACCCTAATCCATCACAAAGTTTGGTTAATCCCTACTTTACATCACTTTCTGCTCATCAAAGGCTAGAATGATGCTAAATACACTGAACTTGAGAGAACTACTACCGATCATCTAAATTTCCTTATTAGTTTAACCTTGTCCTATTCTAACTATTCTCATAGCTGCTAGTGAAACACTTACTGGCTGTATACATAATAGGAACCATGAAGAAACTACAACTGTAGGGAAGAGAAAATTACTCTGTGAATTTAGAACTTGATCACCATCCTAAGTAACTAAGAAGAAAAATTTGAAGCTACATTATTTCATAATCAATGTCAGTGATTCTGCAAATGACAAAAGGCAGGGTACGGGACCTTAAGTCAAACAGAGGAGATTCAAACCATCCATACATCTCTTACTAGGTATTGCCTTTGAGCAAGTTATGTTGTCTCAGCCTCGCTTTCTCCAGCTGTCAGACTGAGCTCATGGTCAGTAAGGACTAAATGCAGTAATACAGGCACAACGCTTCACACAGTGCCTGGCATATGACAAGTACTTGAGAACAGTGAGGTGTTGCTGTCATCATGGTACATTAAATCTCTTTCCCCAAGGAGCCAGTCACTTTAAACCTCTTACCCCTTTAGCCTAGAAGGGCATTTTCATACTGCTTTTAAACCCCTCCTAGCTCCTCAACCTTGATTTGATAAAGCTTATCCTTGCTTGGCTTCTCTAAGGTATCCTCTCTGAATTTAAAAGAACTATAGACAAGGAAGAAAATGTATAAAGTATCATTTTCTTCACATTTCCACTGCATAGGTTAATGGTCCTATGACTGGTTGCTCCCACATCTGTACCCACCATCTGCCCCCATCAGAACTCTGAGTGGACAGGGTCAGAATTTGGCTCAGGAGGATCAGAATTTGAAGAATCTGTGTTTGAATGACTCAACTCTCCAATTGGCTCAAAGGGTCGCAAGTTTGCGTAAGTCACCTCTTGGGCCAGCTGCTCCAGGGAAGGGCGGCCTAATACCAGATTTCGAAGTGAGATACAAGTCATCAGGAAGCTGAAAAAGAGGGAAAAGGTCACCCAGTCTAAACTCCTGTTTCTACATAGGAATTCCTGCCAAAGCCCTTAGGGCTACCTGATCCTACCTTCTCTCATCCAGGCAGAAGCGAAAATATCCCCCTAGTGACCCACCCATCCCAGCTGGAAGGGCACCCCACTCTTTATATGGTCTGGTAGAGGATTCCAGAGTGGGGTAGGAATAACACACAAGAGGCTGGTGATAAGCTGAGGTGGAACAAGACAGCAGGCCATCAGACACAGATCATTTACTCTTCCATTAAGTCAGGGAAAGGAGAATGGAGAGGGAAAAAGATACTTAGCACTAGACTGTCTTTTCCTGGGAGAGTACCATCCTCCCCCCCCCCCATCATTACCTTCACCAGAGAAAAGTTACCCAACTCGCAAGCATCTGATGGCAATGACTAGTACTGTTGTGGAAAACTTACCTGCGGCGAAAGATATAGAGCTTCCGCAGCAAGAAGTGGAAGAGGCGCTCGTGGAAAGGGGTATTTCTCCGGCGCTCAAGCTCTTGGAGCCTTCGCTGGCGTCTAAGAAAGGTCTGAACCAGCGGTGTTGGCTCAGGGCCCCCTTGTACTTCCCCTTCCAGCAGAGGTTGCAGCTCTGGAGGTAGAGGCCCCGTTTCTGCCCAGAAGATGGCAAAAAGAGGAATCACTGAGATTATTCTTTTAGAACTCTCACCAGCCAGAACCTTCCAGTTCCTTCTTTAATGGCCAGATCCTCATTCACAGCCCTGATTTCTCATAACCAGGTGCCTTCTCAGCCCAACTCTTCATATACTCACCAGTTCCATTCTCCACCTTCTCCTTTAATTCTTGTAGATAAGCCAAGTCTTGCTCCAATGCAAGCTCTGTAGTATTGATGTAGATGTACATGTAGCAGGAAGGACTGGGTGATATCGTATACACCTTATGGTACTCACCAGCGGGCAGCTGACAAGGGGGAGGAAATGGATGGATTTCACTCCCTCACCTTTCCCTCGGCAGCCTATGCGCCTCCTACACTACCCACTGTACCCCAATCCACCCTCCCCCCGCCTCCCCAAGGCACTTTCTTCTCATTGTGTTTTGGAGTCCAAAGGAACTGACTTCTAGAATCCTGGATGAGGCTATTCACAGCCCCGGGGGGGGGGGGGGCCTTGCTTTTTGAGCTGCCACTTTTTAAGTCTGTAATAAATTAACTCCACTCATCTAAACTTCTCTGCCATTGTTAATTCCAGCAAAATACCTGCATTTTTTCTCCCTCCTGAAGAGTCTGATTCTTCTGTTCTGCCATCAGCTCGACAATCACCTCCCCCTGTAGCAGCTGAATGCTAGTATTGCCCAGGTCTTCACTCACAAAATTCTCCAGGTGCAGCCCTGCCAGGGGCAACAGAGTTCCCCATCCCATCCTATGGAAGATGAAATCACTCCCAGCCAGAACAGAGACATCACACCTTTACCACTACCACCCCTCAGGTTTCAAGAACACTCCTCCCACCAGGAATGCCCCTCTCCCCTCTATCACATGCAGTGTCCCCAGCCAAGGAAGCCACAAGGAAAGACAGCAAAGCTTTCTCTGCTTTCCTCCATACCAGGGAAATCTGCAATGAAGACCACCTCAGTGTGGTTGTCCAGGCTGCTCTTGATTTCTTGTAACTTGGTCCTCCAGGGAGACAGGTCCATCAACAGTGGCTGCAGCCAAGGTGTACGTTGGAAGGGGGACCAGGCAGCTTGCACGATGTCCACACGAGGGTCAAAAATCCTTAGGAAAGAAAACCATGTTCTAAGGAGACCACAGCCACCTACCCATCGGAATTTCTGGTTCTGTTTCTTTCATCACTGTTCCCACATAGAGGGAACAGGGTTTCCAGATAAAAGAAATGGCTTATGTCAGCATGTTATTGCCATTCTGGGGCAGAGAGAGAAAGGAAAGAGATTCTGGAGCACAGGGGAAGAATGGGGGTTAGTGGCCACCTGAGAATTGCGTTAACAGCTTCTTAAAGAAAAAAAAAAAAAAAGTCAGTTACCTTTTCTTCTGGTTGATGGTGCCCCCTGCTGGAAGCAATCAGCTATGCCCACAACCAGGTGAACAGGGACATGCACCAGAGGACAGCCTTTCAAGCAAGACAACACTGGGGAGCATGGGCTATTCATCTCCGCAAAAGGAGTGGGACTTCATTTTTCCCCTTCTCTGTTCCCCTTGCCCACCTCTGTTGGAAGCGGTCATTGATGGAGACCCAAATATCAAAGTAGATCTGGGGCTCAGTGACATTGTACTTGGGAAGCAGGTGGCTCAGGCAAGTGGCATATTGCTTCAGCATGTCTGCGTGATCCTTCCATCGCCGGCTCTGTGTGAATACCTGCCCCAAACCCCCACATTAGTCCCACCTCATCGTTATCAACCTCCCAGAAAGATCATGCACCGCCAATGGCACTAAGAGATCCCTGCCTGGTGCCTGCTTTGACCAGGAAAAAAAAACCTGAACTTGTCTTTGGGGAAGAATTTTTCATTGCTGGGCTTTTTAATACTTATTTCCTAAACCTAGTTTCAATTCCAAGAAAGTGAATGGCACTGTCCTATTTCAACTTCGACAAAAGCAGAGTCAACCTGGCTCCTGAGAAAGGGCAGCGCGGACCCAAATGTGTTTTATAATTATGTTTAGGATCAAACCAGACCCCGAGGCTCCAGGAAGCTCTGAAGAAGTGTAAGCCGTCAACATCAGGTGGCTCACCCCAGGGTTCAGGTAGCCCAGCTCGCCGGTGCGGCCGTCCCGGTAGGTGATCTTCACGTGCTGGTGGGAGCGCGAGTGCACCATCATGTCCCAGGAATAGCCGTACAGCCCATTTGTCCAGTTGTTATAGCCCTGAGAAGGCAGGACAGAGGCAATCAGCCCGCTGTTCTCGTATTATCCCCATGCCCCGCCAACACAGGGCTGCAAAACCAGCCCCACACCTTCCCTAATGCTGTGCCCTCTGCCACCTCCCAAGCTAACCCCCAGGCCACACACACCTGGGTGAGGAAATGGGAATAGGGCAGGAAGAGCTGCTCCAGGAGGTAGAGCAGGGTGAAGGCAGCACCGAGCTGGTGGCGCAGCCCTGGCTTCTGGCCACCCTTGGCCCGGCTCCTCTTATACACGCAGGACTCGCTGGGCTGAGGGGCAGCCTTGAGGGGCAGTAGTTCCTGCAGCCTTTCGGGGAAGCGAGATACTAGCTTCCGGGGCCACTCAGGGGAGCAGAAGAGAGGGCTGCTGGCCAGCATGACGTAGGGGAACATTCCTAGAGAAGGAGGGAGGAAATAAGTGTTTCAGGAGTTTGGCTGGGGGGGAACCTGGGTAATCCCTCAAGCCCTCTCCTTTAGGAAGCCTCTCCCAGGTATTCCGCTTGTGATGAGAGCAGCTCGTAACTAGAGGCGTCTTACTTCCCCGAGACTCCTTACTCCGCAACATACTGGCTGAGCCCAGAGGCCCCAGTCCTCTCCTCCCGTTGACTGCCATTTCAGTGACTGCACCTGGCTCAACGCAGCTCCAGCTGCCACCGCCATGTCCCACTCCCCGCACACCTGTGGCTTCCCACCTCCTACCAGACCACCGGTACTGACCAATGCTGAAGAGCTGGGAATTCATGCAGTGGAAGTAGGACACGAAGAGGAGGCCAATGGACCTCGAGGCATCAAAAAAGAGCAGGAAACCAGCTGAGAGGTCGAGCAGCAGTCCGCACCAGTGCACCACTAGCAGACTGGTCATCTCCTCGGACAATACCAGTCTGCAGACACCAGAGGCAGAGGTCAGGCACCGGCCCACTGCAGAACCCAGCATTCACAGCACATTCGCGGCCAATGCGCCCTGCTCACCCTGTCCTTGCCAAAGGAAGTACCCTAGCAGGTGCGTACAAGAACTCTACATGAAGACACCCTACGGTAGAGTTTCCAACCCCCTTTCCTTTCCACACACTTTAGGTGTTCAATTTCTTTTCAATATACCCTATGTGCTAACCAAGGGCAGATTTCCTAGGGCAAATCTGATGGAGAAGTGAGTGTATTTGGTGGTGGCGGGGAGGGGCGGGGGTGGTAGATTCTTCACGGAGATTATAAACGAGAAGAAACTTCAAAAGGTGAATGCCTAACAATAAAATCAAACGTTTGGAACTGGGAAATAACAGGGAAGAGGAAAAAGAACAAAGTAAAATGTGAGGAAAAAACACGGGAGGAAGCGAGAAATCAGGATTTTCTAAAGAGGTGGCAACAAAGCTTTGGCAGGGCAGGGACGCCGACTGTCCATCTTCTAAGTCTGCTGGCCCAGAAGTCCTGGCGAGAGGCTGGGGTGGCCACCCAACGACACGGGCCCCACCCACAGCAGCGGCTGGGAGCTCGGACTCATTCACCAAATCACCTTATTCTGATTCTTTCCTTTTGTTTTTTAGTTTTTTCCCTTCATTCTTGGCCCTACCACACGTCTCCTAGATACTCTGCTAAGACTGACTCCGCCTTCTGCTAAAGACAAAGATGAGCGGACAGAGGAAAGCATGTGGCCAACTGAGGCAAAGCAGGACCAGCAGCCATCCCTGCAGACCTGAGGCAGGCGAGTTCCCCGCTGTGTACCAGTGCCACAGCAAGAGAGCTCTGCTCTGCCTGCCACTCACTTGAAGGGACCGAAGAGCCAGTGCCGGGACAGATATTCCATGGAATAGCCCTCAACCCAGTCCGCGTCCAGCTTCTTCACACCCGCAATGAAGTACACGATGAAGATCTGCAAGCGCAAAACGCAAAGTGAATGTTCAAACACAAAAGAACATGGTTTTCTACAGACTATCACAAATGACCTAAGTCCTGATCTGAGTTCAGGGCCTAAAGAAGATTTTGATTCATTCAATTCACTCATCTGAGGTCTTCACTCGTCCAAAAAGTATTTAGGGCCATTCTGCCAATGCCAGGCACAGTATTCGGTCCCAAGGGAAGTCATGAAGCACAGATCTCTCTTAAGGATGCTCATCTAGGGGCGCTGGGTGGCTCAGTCATTAAGCATCTGCCTTCGGCTCAGGTCATAATCCCAGGGTCCTGGGATCCAGCCCCGCATCGGGCTCCCTGCTCGGCGGGAAGCCTGCTTCTCCCTCTCCCTCTCCCCCTGCGTGTGTTCCTGCTCTTGCTATCTCTCTGTCAAGCAAATAAATAAAATCTTTAAAAAAAAAAAAAAGATGCTCATCTAGCAGGGCCAAAGCTCTATTCTTTCCATGACGAGGTGAGAGAACCCAGAGACTAGGCGATTGGCAACGCTTTCCAGCAAAAGGGAAAAAAGGGAAGATCCAGGGAGGCAGAGTACAGAGCCACCTGGCAGCAGGATGGTCGTGCTGACGATGGCTGTAGAAGAACACCCCCCTCTTTCCAAAAATCCTGTACCTGGCCACGCAGCACAGCATAGTTCCAAAGGGGCACGTGGGCATTCCGCTTACGGGCATTCAGCAGGCCGTCAACAGACCTACACCGAGGAAGTGAGGATTAAGGAGAGCTGCTCAGTCCAGCACATTTCCACCTTTCTCAGTGTAATAATCTATCTATCCCAGGATATCCCCACATCCTCTCTGGTCCTCTGGGATCTTCTGAGGCTCTCCAGAATTATATGAGCAAATTTAACAGTGCTTATTTTCAGTCATAACAGAAATGTTACTAGTGGGTTAGAACAACACACAGTTCAGTGTTTACCATTAGTTAGTAAATTAGTCGGTCTTAATGGAACAAATCAGGAAAAGGATTACAATGCTTCAGAATATGACTGAATTTGAAAAAAGAATGCATTTGAAGGAATGTTTGAAAAGCTCAAGATGTATGTAACTATATAGTACATTTAAGAAAAAAAAATTCAATATCCAAAACAAACTGACATCTCAGAGACCTAGATGCCAGGATCTAGTGCTGGAGCTTACCTTGGGAGAGAACCTATAAACCCAAGATACTAAGACTACATGTATTCTGGGGAGGTGGAAGCAAAGCAGGTTTCAAGAAGACAACGAATGAGGTTGGGAAGGGGTTTGGGAAGGGGGCAGCTTACACTTGTGGTTAAGAGCCTCATGGCACTGTAATGAGGAAAAATTTAAAGTGTTTAGTGCCTGGCCATGTGGAAAGTCCTGAGTAAGGGATAAGTATTTTTTCAAATTGTGTAAAAATTATAAAAATGAAACTTTTCAGGAGTATTCTGTCAAAACTGTCTCTTGATTTTTTTACAAAGGGTATCTGTAGGTAAAATTAATGACTGATAAATCACTAACAAATTCAATGTTTGAGATTTTTTTCTCTATACCCATCTTACTGACATCTCCTGTTTCCTTTTCACTTAATGGAAAGAATCCCTAGAGGTTATCTGCCCTGCCACCCTGTCTCCAAATCCCTTCACCACCTCCCCTGAGAGATGGTCACCTAAGCCAGAGGTGGGGGAGGGTTACCTCCTCCCAGGACAGCACTGCTGAGCAGCCCTGGTGGGCCCTCTCCTTCTGACATGACTCTGCCTTACAGCAGCTTCTACTCTTGGCTCTAACTCTGCCCCTCTGGGCTCACACAGAGAAAGTCTGCTCCCTCTTCCACAAGACCACCCTTGAAGTATCTGAAAACATCTATGTCTGGCTTTAGTCTTCTCTTCTTCTCTCTAAGTGGATTACAGGAAGTAGATAGATCAAGGCACCTGGGGAGATATGGAAAGAGTGAAGGGGTGGGAATGGAGCCGTTCTGCTTTTTGTCATCCCAAGTGCCCCAACCTCACTGACCCTTCCCCCTCCCAAATTCATCCAGACCAAAGTGTGACCCTATAACCACACTTTGCAAAGCGTGGTTGAAAATATGCTTGCTGGGGGGCACCTGGGTGGCTCAGTCGTTAAGCGTCTGCCTTCGGCTCAGGTCATGATCCCAGGGTCCTGGGATCGAGTCCCACATCGGGCTCCCTGCTCAGCGGGAAGCCTGCTTCTCCCTCTCCCACTCCCACTCCCCCTGCTTGTGTTCCTGCTCGCGCTGTCTCTGTCTCTGTCAAATAAATAAATAAAATCTTTAAAAAAAAAAAAATCTTAAAAAAAAAAGGAAATATGCTTGCTGGGGCAAATTCTAGAACCTCACCGGGCCCCTACCACTGGTAACCATCCTGACCCAGCCAACCCCTTCCCCTTTCCCCTAGAATCATACCAGTAGTGGTTTGCATCCATGAATGTTAGCTGAAAGGCCAACAAACCATACAGATAGGAGTGGTTGTTCCATGACGTCTTGTCCAGGAGAAACACATACCAGTATGGCAGCAGGAATAACACACAGCTCATCCGGTAGCACAGGCCCAGCATCATGCCCAGGGCCCCTGGGATTTGTGGGGGAGAGGATTAAGAGGTCAAAGGGTCACCACAGGCCCAGCTCCCCCGGGACAGGCTGTGGGTGGGATTAAGAAAAGTCATCGGACATTTTATAATCATAAAACCAAATGAAAATCAAATGTTATTTCAGTATTTTAAAAAGACTTATGGGGGTCACAGCTCAGATGACACAGGTCAGCGGGATGAAATTAAAGAGTCACAGCAGAAGTGAAATAATGAACCCAAGACTTTGGTCATTCACCAGCATGCTTTGTATTTCTATGGTTTAGGCAGGCCAGTCAATACTCCCATCTCTCCCATACTTTCCCTCACCCAGAAACATGACGGTATAGACAAGATACATCCAGTCAAGTGGTAGTGGCTGCAGGGCGTCCAGCAAGGGGAAGCGGCACACATCTAGCCCATCCAGGTATCTTCGGTCCAGGGAGCTGAGCCCCCGTTCTTGGGGAATGTCCAACACCATCATCAGCCCTGGGAAGGCAGTCGAGGAGGGGCCATTAGGCCTCAGCAAAGGAAGCAGTGAAATACACTGGAATACAGTTGGATGCACCCAGCTCCAGGGTCAGACTTCTTACCTAACCCTGGCTCTGCCATTTATTCATTCATTCAACAATAATTACTGAGAACCTGCTCTGTGCTAGGCATTATGCCAGCTGTGTGATCTCAGATAACCACTGCACCTCCCGGAGCCAACTCCTCATTCCCTATTTGAGAAAGGGACTCATAATATATAATTTACAGGGTTACAGGGGGCGCCCGGGTGGCTCAGTCGGTTAAGCATCTGCCTTTGGCTCAGGTCATGATCCCAGGATCCTGGGATGGAGCCCCACATCGGGCTCTCCGCTCAGCAGGGAACCTGCTTCTTCCTCTCCCTTGGCCCCTTCCTCTGCTTGTGCGCTCTCTCTCTCTCAAATAAATAAATAAAATCTTTAAAAAGAAATTTTCTAGGGTTACAAAGAGGATTAAATGAGAGAAGTGTACAAAATGCTATAAAAGCTGTTCGGGTTTTGATAATTTAAGGTCTGTCCTATGAAGCCATAAAAAGTGTTGTAGGGTGGTGCGTCTCAACTTTTTTCACTTCTTAGCACACCCAGAAAACAGTATTTGGCTTACCACACTAGAGCAAACAGAAGGGGCTACTCAGGTCAGGAAGCCAGTTCCAGTTAAGGCAGGGTTTCTCAACCTCAGGACTACTCACATTTTGGGCTGGTTAATTATTTGCTGGGAGGGGCTATCCTGTGCATCATAGGTCACTTAGCAGTATCCCTGGCTCGTAAGTAGACACCAGTAGCCACCTATTTCCCTTCCCTCAAGTTGTGACAAATAAAAATGTCTACAGACATTGCCAAATATCTCCTGGAGAGCAAAACTGTCACCCTTGAGACCGGGCTAAGGGAATTAATACCTTAGCACGTCTGTAACCCATTCCAAGCATACATGCTGTGGCCTATGAGTTAGGAAACTCTGGATTAGGGAGTCACAGCCAAAATGTCTGCCCTATCACGCCTGCTATTTCTCTGAGGTCTGGTCCTGAGTATAGTTACTGGGCAACTTCATGCCACAAGCAAGATGGGTCTCTGGTCATCTGCCTCTGTATTTCCTATGGCCTCAGATCAAAGTATTTCTGGCCTCCAAACCCTAATCAGAGGAGACAAAGGTGGATTTGATCCTATACACCACAAATATCTCTTCCAGGAAATCAGTATCTATCTTCAGCTCTGAAGGAAAGGGAGGCAAGTCACTAAGTAAGTAACCAAGAAATGCACAAGGGACGATGGTTATTCTTCCACCCATCACCACACTGGCCCCTCCAGAAACCCGATTTACCAAAGAGAAAACGGAAGACAGCCAGGCTGGCAGGATCCGTTGGTCGATTCAGCAGGGTCACCAGCCTTCCCCAGCTGGAAACATCTGTCCACTCAAACCCCAAGAGTGTCCCCATTCCGCTGCCCTGCCTGGGCCCTGAAGACTGTCCAGCCTTGTCTTTCTGTACTTTATCTGCAAACAACAAACAGAAAGTGTATGCGCAGGTGTGGGGACGGAAATGCTTTAAAATCGGCTCCTCCCCAAATCACAGAAATCACGGCCCCTACAGCCCCAGGGTTTCTTCGAAGCTACCAGGGTTCTCCCCCTGATTTCTGACTACTAGAAACACCCTCGCAGTGCCAGATCCTTCTGGATCTCCCAATGTCCCAGAACCTCTCTCAGACTGCAGCCCCCAACCGCAAAGCGCCCCGAGGGTCATCATCACCCCAAAGCCCCGGACTGCAATCTCTCTCTACAAGCCCCTTCCAGAGACCCCTTTCCCGGAGTCCCACAGGAGAGTCCTACCGCCCCCACCCCTTTGAGACAGAGTCCCTCTCTCTCTCCGCCGCATGGGAGGACTCTGAGCCTACGTGAGTCCGGCGGGACCCGCGCGGACCGGGCAGACACCGCCATGGCACCGCGGAGGTAAGACGGCCAAAGCAGCGGCGCCCAAGCAGCGGCGCCCAAGCACAGAGCGTCGGGAGGAATCACTTCCCTAAGCCCCGCCTCCCCGACACATCAGCACGCGCGCGGCCGGCCGGAAAGCGCTAGGTCTGTCGTGAAGGGCTCCCGCCGGCGGCGCCTGCTCCCTGCTTAGCGGCAAAGGGCGGAGCGAGGAGCTTTGGGGCGGGGGGAGAGGGAGCCCCGGCTGGTCTCACCTTACCCCGTGACGGAGGAGGAGCGAGGACACCCCCAGACGAGCTCGTTTTCAGCCGCCAGACCAGTGTCGCCATGAAGCGTCCCAAAGCTCCTGGTGCTTTCAGCACTAAGAAATCTCAGAGTCGTGACAACTTCCCTGCCATCCCCCCGCCCCCATTAGGTCTCTCCAGGTTGTAGTGTCCCTGCGGTGCTCCCTGACGTGAGCAATGTGGGTGCAAATGTCGGACTCTTTCCCCAAGAGGTTGACCCCAAGAGTTGAGGACGCACCTGGAAGGGCTGTCCCGGCGTAGGGAGAGGGTGCGAGTTCCTTTATTCTCTCTTCCAGTACCTGCCAAGAACCAGAGGTTTGAAATCAGCGGGGGAAACCCGAACGACACGACTGTAGGGGGATGTAGAATAGGGGCAGTGCGTAGAGTGTGCTCGATCAGGGAGGATTCCTAGAGGTGAGTCTTGAACAGCACTACAAGATCTAATTTTCTGCCCTGGGATTGGCCAGCAGGATCACAGGAAGGCATCCTAGAAAAGCAGTTCTCATATTTTCTTGGTGTCAGGACACTTTCACGCTGCTACACATTATTGAGAACCCTAAAGAACTTTTATTTATGTGGGTTATATTTTTCCACATTTACCATGTTGGAAATTTATACTGAGAAATGTTTATATATTGATTCACTTAAAAAAACAGTAATAAACCATGTTTACAAATAAAACATGTTTACATAAATAACTTTTATGGAAAAAAGTTTATTTTCCACAAAAAATTGCACAAGTAGTACTGTATTGTTTTATATGCAAATCTAATGTCTGGATTAATTGGAAACAGCTGGATTCTCATATCTACTTCTGCATGTGATCTGGTGTTGATTGAAGTATGTGAAGGAAATCTGGCCTCACAGATACTCAGTTGGAAAAAGGAAAAACATTTTAATAACGTTTTTAGATAATTGTGGGTATCCTTCTTTGATACCACCCCTAAACTTAAAAGTGGTAGTTTGTTTGTTTTAAAGATTTTATTTATTTGACAGAGCACAAGCAGAGGGAGAGAGAGAAGCAGGCTCCCTGCTGAGCAAGGAGCCCGATGTGGGACTTGATCCCAGGACACTGGGATCATGACCCAGGCCGAAGGCAGCCGCTTAACCAGCTGAGCCACCCAGACGTCCCAAAAGTGGTCGTTTTTTAAAGGTTAGTCAGATGTAGAATCTGAAACCATACCAATGAACTTTATGCTCTGTCACATTAAAATCATTGGTATATCTTGCACTTTGAATGGACCTTTTACAAAATCATACATATAGGCTTTGGAAAACATTGGTTCACTGAGTTATGCTGCTCTTCTAAATGCAGAGTCTCTTAAATTTTGGGGAGCTGCCCAGCTCACACTGGTGGATACAAGTTTTCCAAAATTCTAATTTTCATTTGAAAGTTCAAATTTATTCATTGGCAACAAATACTGTCTCTTGTTTCCCTTCGAGGAACAGCCACACTTCTTTGATGTTTGAAAAAAAAAATACCTGCCAAATGTGCCGGTTTAAATAACCATAGTTTGTCCAATACCCACAAGTAAAATGATGTTTCATTTTTAAAAAAGAAAGAAAAAAACAAAGATACTCAACATTTATTAGGGAATTGCAAATTAAAACAACAATGAGATAACTATTAGAGTGGTTGAAATCCAAAGCACCACCAACAACAAATGCTGGTGAAGACTGGAGCAACAGGAACTCTACTTCATTGCTGGTAGGGATGCAAAATGGTATACCCACTTTGGAAAACAGTTTGACAGTTTCTTACAAAACTAAACATGCTTTTACCATATGATCCAGCAGTTGTGCTCCTTGGTATTTACCCAAATAGTTGAAAAATTATGCCCACACAACTGTATAGCAGCATTATTCATAATTGCCCAAACTTGGAGGCAACCAAGATGTCCTTCAGTAGGTGAATGGATTAACAAACTGGCACATCCATGCAGTGGAATATTCAGTGATAAAATGAATGAGCTATCAAGCCACAAAAGGATGTGGGGGAATCTTAAATTCCTATCCCTAAGTGAAAGAAACCAGTCTAGAAAGGTTACATACTGTATGATCCAAACTGATATCCTGGAAAAAGCAAAACTGTCGTTTTAAGGCAAAAGATCAGTGGTTGCCAGGAACTGGGGGGAAGGAGGGAGGGATGAATAGGTGGATGAAACTATTAGATGAAACTATTCTGTATGATACTATAATGGTGTCATGGTGCATACATGTGGATTATATATTTGTCAAAACCCATGGATGTGAGCCCTAATGTAAACTATGGACTTTGTTATTAATAACGTATCCATCTTAGCTCATCAGTTGTAAAGCAAATATACCATAATAGTGGAAGCTGTTAATAATGGGAGAAAAATGGGAGAGTGCTAAGAGGTGTGTGGGAACTGTCTGTACCACTCCAAAAAAATATATTCTGTTAATTTTAAAACATTACTGCAGCTCACAGTTTAACTACACAAGTGCTTTTTCTCAGAACAGCTGTGAGACAGCCATCATACTTGGGTATGCAAAGTGTAGTGTATTTCCCGTTTCTTCCCACAAAATAGTTAAGGGTGTGTACTCCAGTGTCAAGAATTAATAAAGTTAGTGGGGCGCCTGGGTGGCTCAGT